CCCCAAAACCCCAAAACCCCAAAACCCCAAAACCCCAAAACCCCGTCATAAGATACAAATATTGAATTGAGATATTTCTTGGTTATTTGGCTATTTATGCATTGAATCTTGGCTTTCCATTTCATAAATCTGATCAAATAAAGTGTCATCATATAAATCTCTTCTGGCATTCTTTGACTCACCAAATTCTAGAAAGATAGTTAAATCATTGTGTTTATATTAAAAACCTACTGTTTTTGGATCTGATAGGACTTTCATTGCTAAACTTCAGAGGTTCAACCTCCCTGTGCATGTAGCTAGATTGGCCAACCATGGATGGAGCCCCAGGCTGCACTCCCATCCCTGGTTGAGAACCATAAGAGTACATGTTCGAATATTGATTATAGCCCATTTCTGGCTGAGATGCAGGGAAATTCTGATAAGACTGGCCTAACTGGGGATGCCCAGAGTAATTCTGATCATTATGAGGGCTAAAAGTAGCCTCAGGCTGGAAATTAAAAGTATTCTGAGGGAAACTTTGAGGATAGTTCTGAGAATAGCTCTGAGAATAATTCTGTGCATAATTCTGAGAGCATTGACCATACATATTATCCTGAGTAGGAATTTTATAAGAGAAAGGATGACTTTCAGGTACAACTTCTTCCATTTCTTGGGAAGAAGGTGTCTGGTCAATACTATCCTCAGAATTCAAAGCAGCATTTTTAAGCATGTTTTGTAACCTACGAGACTTGTTTGGTTCTTCTTTCTTTGCAGAGCTAATTATATGCTGTCTCTTTTTATGAATCATAAGGTCTTCATCTTCGCTTGTAATCTGTCCCATTTCATCCATCGCTTTCTCTGCAACTTTATTATATCTCATTCTACTGTTTGATAGCTCGAACTCATTATTGAAGTTTTGAGGGTTCCTCTCAGTTTGTCTGGAAGCAAATTTGCTTGTTTCTTGGTTGCTATCGCTACTATTGTTTCTATTTTTCTTTTTCTTTTGGTTTTTCAAAATCTTGTCTTTTGCTTTAAATTCATTCTTTCTGGTCTTTGAAGTTTTCCTCTTGACTCTTTTTGATTTCTACAGCTATTGCCAAACGACTTACTTTGAGGCAGCATTCTTCTTCTGTCTCAGACCCAAGCCTTCTTTCAGGGCTCTGGTCGGTCTCTGAATTATGATCCGAATCAGCATACTTGATCATACCCTTGAGTCCCTTTTTCTGGGTTTTCCTAGGTATTTTTATAAGTTCAGGGGATTCATCTCTCTTCTTCATCATGCTGAAATTCATTGATAGTTCTTCAATAGTCTTATTAAATTTGCTAAATTGTTCCATAAATGTCTTATCAATGGTAGCACTCCCTGTCTCCTGGGTATTTTGTGTCTCTTTTTGAGGAACTTGCTGATTAGCCATCTGTTTTTGGATATTTTCAGCAATATTCTCCTTCTCCCTTGTTAGATCAGCCAGCTGTTGCTCTTTCTGAGCATCTTTTTCCTTGAGGTTCTTAATAACTTCTACTGATTCTTGGAATTTATTCAGAAGTTGTTCATATTCCTGATTCTTCGTCTGCAGTTGATCCTCAAGGTCTTTATTTCGCTTTTCAATACTATTTTATGATAAAATTTGCTTACGTATCGCAGCTGAGTTTTAGGTCTGTCACTTTATTTAAACAACTCTCCAATTTTGTTCTTGTCTTCTGTACAAAGATCTACAATCCGCACTTTTTGTAAATTTTGAGGAAGATTTTGACCTATTTTTGCCACCTGATCCTTCTGAGGAGCCTCCGACCCATTCTTTTGTAAAATCTTTTGAAGTAGAATAGGATCTTTCTGTGGAATAACCAGGTCATTTAATTTGCTATACTGAGTACCAGAATTCGAGCTAATATTTTCCGCCATTTACTTATAATTCAAATAAATAATATGCTGCTGGGGTTTTGGGGTTTTGGGGTTTTGGGGTTTTGGGG